TCTCTTGCCGCAACAAGCCCCGAGATATTCAAAAGCAGTCGACCTACGATATGATAAAGCAAAGCGATGAATGCAAGTAGTTTCCTGCTGCGCAGAATATCTGCCCGCTCTAATGCGAGTTGCGAAGCCTCCTGCAGGTGCCGCAGAACGTTTTCTTTTGCCTTTCCAAGCTTTTCTTGGATCACGACTGCGGGTAACGCGGCTACAGTCAACGCTTGAGTAGTAAACATTGCCGCTTCTACGTCCACCGGAATTTTGCTGACACCAACTCGGAAATCCGTGATTTGCTGCCTCCAGTAAGCATTGTGGGACATCCGGATTAACGGCTCGACATGTGCAAAAAAGAGGTCGGTCAAGATGTCTTCTTTCTCGGGATCGAGGTGGAAATGGGACATATCCGGCAGTGCTGGGTTCCTACCAATTGGCCAAGCAGTAGGACTATCCGGATTCTTGCCGGTCTTGTCGGACTCGATACGGTAGAGATGGCGAGGTTCGTAGTTATACTCTTGGATGTTGAGCCAATAATTCGGTCCGAGATAGAAAGAGACGTTTTCGTCGTCAACCTGGATTCCGGGGTCGCCGGCCATGGACTCTTCGATGCTGTTGTACTCGCTGAAGCTTGATGGTGTTGTCGATAGCAGCGGAATCTTCGGAGGCCTTAACGGTTCACCGCGTGCAGCCATCCCCTTCAGCTCCTCAATCTCTCTCTCGAGACGGGCCACCCTCTCCTGGAGCCGCTGTTGGCTTTCGGGGGTGCCCTCTCGCGGAACATCGTAAGTGCAGGTTGCGGCCGTGCCGTTCTTACCGCAAGTTCCACATGGCAGTTGCCTGTCGCATTTCACTTTGCGGCGGCGGCACGTACTGCACGGCTTGTTGAACAGGATCTTACCAAATTCCGGTTGAGGGGCCAAGTTGTCCTTCGTGGAGGGCGTTGCCATGGTCGAGAGTTTGCCTCAAGCTTAAAGCAGAAAAAGGCAGACAATCTGCTCCGACGAGCGGCTGACAAAACCCTCCAAGAGGTTGTTGGTAGGGCTGGCCGTCCGTTAGGGGGTGGGCTGCGGCCGGTGGAGAAAATTCGACGAAGAAGCAACCCTGATTTGGGAGAGATAATGCGGCGCCAGAGCCCTAGAAGACTCTTGTCTGGCGCCGCAGGCGGACTTCCTCTTCTGATCAATAGGGCTTTCTGGGCAGAAGATCCCCGCGGAAAGAGGTTGCAGACCGTGGACAACGGTGGACAACGGCAGGGCTCGATGAACGACCAGAGTCTGCGGTGTCATGCCCGAAACACCACTGTAGGTGAAGATGGAGAGCTCCACAATGGAATTATGCCCCTAAGACAGTGCGTGGCTGCCCGTCAGGAACTGCCGACCCCGTCAGTTGGAGGCAGGATCGGGCCGCCACGCGTGGTCACTGGTGGTATGAAGAAGGAAGAATGCGGTGTTGATGGGCAATGCCAGCTGAAAACACTCCACCCGAGTCTCGCAGCAGCCCAAGAAAAGGACACCACGTCTGGGCCACCGCCTTTCCTGCAGAAGTGCAAGTCCCAATGAGGGCGGCCGCGGCCAAGCTGGCGGATACTGGATGCGCCACCAGACCCTCCCCCTCAAGCAAGCGTGTGCTTGAGAAGCAGGATGCGTGCTTGTTGGATGACGGTGGGGTACGGCCGTTTGGGACTTGTGGCCTTGGAAAACACACACAGACAGCAGCGTAAGTGGTGGTGGTGTAGCCTGGCTGGGCCCTAGAGATCCTTGCAGTTCCCCTTCTCTCTTTCTCTTCCTCCCTGATTCCAGGCTCCGAGCCGGGGTAGGCACCTAGCGTTCGGACGAGACGTCGGGGAGAACGGAGGGATTCGTCATCAATGACTCGGACACAGCCAAGACGTTCGTCTGTATCGAGATTCGAATACGACTCTTTTGTGACGAACTGCGGCTGTTGGCGAAGGTCACCGTCACGGGGGTCAGGCGAGGCGAGGCGAGGCTCTGGGCAGCACAGATCAATTCATCACAGACAGGACAACAAAATCCGCGGTTGCCGGGCTTCGGCTCCAGGTCCGGTGTTCTATGCAAGAAGGGTCACCGTATGAGGAATACGGTACAGTGTGGTTAAACGGTGGAGATGGAACGCGCGTGAGAACTCTGAATGGGACGAGACGTCGGAGAATCCCGACCGGTGAGGTTGTGTTGTGTGGGCAAAGGGGGTGAGATCGGCAATTCAAGTCGCAACCGTTAAGCCAGAGCAGGTTTCGTTTCCCTGGTAGATGAAGTGACACAGACATCTCAATGAGGAGGATTACATAATGTTTCTCGGCGAGGAACGCTTCGATAGCAACGCATGTTATTGGCTCGTATCCTTCAAGATGTGGCCTCATACGGTGATTAGCGCGGAACGGCATTGCATGTAGGTACTTGCTCCCGGGCACGCCTACCGGAGAAGCCCCGACGAGAAAAACAAAAGTCTTGGGGTCTGGGTACGACTGGGACTAGGTATTGTTGTCCGTATTCATCCGCGGTGTCGGTGCCTTGGCGCGATTATTGAGTTCGAACCTGCGTATGCACGAAAGCACGGGATGAGAGGAGGAGGCTGGAAACCGAGTGCTCTCGACGTGCATCAATCGCCACGATACTGCATCTCGCCGTGTCGCGCCGATTCGCCGGGGGCCTAGATCCAGGGTCTGGAACGCAACCAACCATGCTGGACTGGTCCAGGCGCGCAGCATTTTAATCAAGCCGAGGTCCAAATAGGGCTATCAGCTCGTCCAGTAGGGCAACATTTCAGCTGGACCTTACCCCTGAGCCTTACAGTTACGCGACCCCGGTTGGGAGAGAATGGGATTTTTTTTGCGCATGACGACCTTATCCGCCTTATCAGTATCTTCCCTCCTCCACGCCTTGCTTGCCCGCTTGCCTGGTAAACGGCACGGAGGGGCCGGGCCTCGAGTGGGGCTTCGGGACGCAAGTGGAGCTCGGCCTTGCAGCCCGACTCCGAAACTGCGGTACGTACCTCAGCCCGAGCCTGAAGATGGACTGTGGACTTGTCAAAATGTCCAGGCGCGAAAGTGAATTTCACTCAAGGGAAGGTGCACCCCACACCCAGTGCACCTTCCATTCCACGCCCAGACCCTGCCCCACCTCCACCACTCAGGCACCTCACGGCGTGGGCGGGCCGGTTCATTCCAAATTCCGCGCTCCCCGCCGCGGCGGACCTGACGCGCCTCTGCACCGCCGCCAAACCTGAGCTCCGTCCCCGACATCATCGAGTCCGTTCCGTCACCCGCGACAGATCTCCCGCCAGAGACCATGGCCCTACCTCTGCCGTCGGGTCTCGTACCCGCCGAAGTTGCTTTCCTCTGCGAAATGGAACTGGTCACAGTTGTGCCCCGCCAGCGCCTGGAGAGCATCGACCTGCTAAGCGTGAGCCCCTCCATCTTCCCCCCCGCGACGCGTCACGATCGATCCCTTTACTGACGTGTCACTCCGTCTTGCAGGGTGCAACACCAGCCCTACGACCTCCGGCACGCGCCGATCTGCCCATGTGGCTCGCCCTCCTCCTCAAGAAACAACGTCGAGCGAACATTGTCCCTCCGCCGTGGCTCCATCCGCAGTCGCTTGCCAAGATCGTCCACCACGAAACGAAAATCGAGCCCGATGCCTTCTCGCCCCCTCCACCACCGCCCGCCAGAGGCGACGCGCTAGGAAACGCCAGCCGATACGGCGAAGAGACGCTTTCTGCCCCGTTCCTACCTTCATGTACCGCCGATGCACCGCCAAACGCCCTGCCATACCACTGGTTCGAGCTCGCAGAGATGCTGCTAGCCCACGCGATCGACGATATACCCGCCCCCTCCGAAGTCAGGTCACTCCTCCGAGACCTCCAAGAAGTGCGATCCGCGAAGCTGAGAAAGAGCACGGAAGAGCTTTCCGAGGTTGCGGGCGTCATGAGTCTGCGCGGAGTGGGAGCGATGGAGCTGGCCGAGAGCCGTGGCTTCTTCCTGGGCGTCATAGAGGGCGTACGGAAGATTGGCGCGAGCGCTGAGGCTAGCAGACGCGAGGAGGAGGAGGAGCGCGGGGAGGGTGTTGATTATGATGAAGACGAAGATATGCTATGATACCCGGCGTTGCATGCTCTCTTCGTCCGAGAGAGTCGGCGCCTTGCTTTTTGCAAAAGTCCGAACAGCCTGGGCATATGTACGCCTGAGGGATGCCACCATCTATGCCCGTTTATAGTTCAGGTATGGAGCCTGTGTCTCTGAGGGTTATCCTCATGCTGACATTCTCTTCAGCTAGGCCTTGTAAAGCCTCCCCGCAATCGGCTGCCTTTTGCGGTCCTAGTCACGCTTCCTACCCCAATTGCCGTTAACTTATGTCATTGGCCGCAAAAGGGAGCAGACCTACAGCCACATTATTTGGATCAAGTCGTCGCCCTGGCGCGATAGAGGTTCAAATATGGTTTGAGGCTGTGTACATTCCCATGCCCGAGCACTCGACATCGGACAAACTATATATAGGGCAACCACCAATGATACCAACGATTAGAGCTATGCTGAGGCAATGATTAGAAGCCCCTGAATATGTTCCATGTGACTTTGCCCTATCCTATGTCTACAGGCGGTGCATTGTCTACCCTGGTCTATGCATCTATCCTCTCCCAAGTCTGATTCGCTCCGTGACTAGCTTCGCCTCGAGCAAATGTCCACGCCACGAGATAGACTCTCCTCTTCATTACGGGCGCTATTCTCGTCGATGGAATTGCGCAAGGTTTTCCTCGCCAGCCTTTTTGCGAGTCGAAGAGAGTTCTGTAAATTCGTCTGGGACGAAAAAGGGGCTAAACACCTCACCCCACCCTCCGCAGCACCTCCCCATAAAAATTACTTCAACCTTTACTGCGGATATATATACGACGTTGTTCTCTTGAGCTAGCTCACGATATAACTATGAAAAGCGTAGTGAAAAAGACTTTCTGTGCTTCTTGATACCAGTAAGAAAACCCAACTGCTGTTTCAGTCATGCTGCATTGACATTGTTCCTCAATGTCCCCAGAGACACAACGGCGGCGTGGGAGATGTACAAGCATAAAGTGACCATCAGCCCACCAATCGGCGATATCGACTGCCACCGATGAGAAAGCTCAAAAATATGCGGCCTTCTCATCGTCAGTAGAAAGTCCGCACAGTAGATAAGTGCACAGGCCCAAAAGAACAGAAACTGTCTCCATCCTCGGGGCGTAGTCTTTGCGGGATGTTCCCCTTCCATCCACAGGCCCAGTCGAATGGTCGTTGCACTAGCGCAAGGGTAGCTGATGAACAGATTGCAGACGAAGTTGAGGTCGCTGATCCAGAGATCGTACAAGGTCAGACCTGGCTGGAAGTAGTTGTTGAAAACGAATGATGCTGCGAAGGCCATCATCACCGCTGCTAGCAGCCCCAGAAACGGAAAGGCTGCGCAGACGGGCAGCCAGGATGCGCACCTGTAATCTTCAAGATGTGGGATGGCTTGATCAAAAACCTCAACGATATCACACGATTCAGCGTGCGAGTCGGCGATTGTCTCTTTGGGCCCGGCATTCTTCGATGGTATTTTCATACTCCCTTGTTCGAATGATGTGACGAGACTGGGAGCTACCGTCGTACCGGATATAGCGGCCTCATTGAGCCCACTATCCGAATAGACTTCATGTTGTCGGGGCTGAGAGTCTGCAGAGTCCGGCTTGGTGATGTGATGGACAAAAGTGCCGAATATCGTGAAAACCGGGCCGAATAGGAGGATTACAGGCAGTATTTGCCCGAAGGTCCACTGATTCTCTGCCTCAGCTAGCGTGAGCTGATCTTCGTCGACGGCTGTCACGATGAGGCCAAGAAGCTCATTGCGGGTACCGAGAACCTTGATAGTGCCCCAGACCAGGATTACACAGAGCCAATAGACCTTGTTGTTGAGGCCACTGTCAGCCAATTCGTCTCGATACTCGGATATTCTGATTCACGAACCTCAAATAGGGATGAGCTGAAAAAGTCAGACGTAAGCCTGACCATAAAGAATCCTGCCAAAGCAGGCTTCAAGATGAGTTCAGTCTTGAGGAGTTTCCTACGTTCCGATGATGCCGGTGTGTTTGCAAAGTCTGTCAAAAGTCTTCTTACGCGACGACTCGTCGGTTGTCTGACATTGAGCTTGAACGTCCTTGACAACGGGTGGAGCAACTTCATAGATCGGGTACCAAAGCCGAGAACAAGCAAGACCATGGAGTACACCATAGCCTGATATGCGGGTGTACGTTCCAGCTGCATCTCCGGGAAGTCGCTTTGACTCAGGGTTTCCTTGAATCTCCAAAAGCCATACTTCAGGTTAAAGTAGCATACAGCTGGCGAGGAAAAGTTCCTGTTCCGCAGGCTGAAGAATCCAGTGGGTACGATGCCCACTAAGAGAAGGATCAGGAGAAGGGACATAAGTGAGAATCGGAGATGCTTTGACCAGACGTAGGTGTTAAGATGAGTCCGCAGAACCTCTAGTCCAGAAAGGTGAGTGACAGTAGAAAACCACGCTAGGAAGACGGCTATTTGCCAGTGAATAGCGTCCAGACCACATCGCAAAAGGACAAATCCACTGATGAGAATTCCGAGGCCGGTGACGACTTGCACATCGCAGAGCATGATAATTGACTGTTCCGTTTGTTAGCTATCACTGATCAGTAGTAATATGATACATTGTTAACGAGTTTTGCTATCCGGGTAGATACTGAATATACGACAATAACGACGATAACGACGATAACAACAATACCAATAGCGACAGGGAGAAGAATAGGAACAGCAGCGATAGCAGTAAAAGTTGATCGAGATAGAATGAACTATTAGACGGGCTAATGTAGGCAGGTAGTTATCCGCCCGTATAGCAAAACTCTTGTTAATAGGAGATCAGACTCAAGCTATTTACCTCATCAAATGCCATTCGAAGGCGTGCGCAGGTGTCATCTGTAAAGACCAACGGTCCCTTCCGTACCCACCTGAGGAACCGCTCATCGATCGGATTTGGCCGCCACAGCTCTCTGTTGATGTTCTCGTTCTTTGAGTTCCCGATTTGAAAGGGGCAATCCGTGGGGTCATATGCGAGGAAATAGTTGCCAATGACCAATAGCAGTACAAGATAGGCTGTTCCCATAAAGCCAATCAAAACCTAAAGGGCATTAGAACTTCAGACCATATATCTTAAGATTGCACAGTCTACCTACACCATTGCCCGAGATGTCAGGATATGCTTGAATTGAAGTCTCTGACAGGTTGTAGCAATCGATGACTGGGCAAAAGTCATTGGCTCCGTTGTCAGTCATGGTTGTCACTTGGCATTCTAAGCTTTTTCCCGGCGGTACGTTTAGAAGGGAAGTACGATAAGTTTTGTTTAGTGGCCCAAGTTGGTAACGACTTGAAATGTGCGAGGATAGTAGTGAGGGCTTGCTTGATCAAGATATCGAAGGTTGGAAAGATGGCTTATGCCTCTTAAACACCCATTGCCAAGGAGTCGCATTGCGGCTGGCGTTGTCGCCTGCAGGGCAGCCTGCAGTCAGCATTGCCTGGGAGGGCTGAGCCAAGGGGTTTGTTTGCTAGACATTGTCTCGCAAACGGTGATGACTGGTAAGCTCGCTTAGCTGCGAATGACGACAGTCACTTGACGGAAAAGGCGAAAGAAAGTTCAAGCTCGATTGGAAGTTTTAGCTTTTGCTCCTGGATCTGCTGGGAATGACTGACAGTTCGTTTAGGGAGGATTAGAACAGTGCTGGCGAATGCGATATCGTAGTTTTTACTCAGATGCCCTCTGACAACAGTTATACGCTGAATCGAGCGGCGATCCCCAGTGAGTGAGGAATGTTTGCTCCGTGTTCTCTCGCTTGCGTTGTTGTGCCACGATCCTACATCATGCCCCTTGCTAGGCATCCTAGCATCCTCTCGGTCAGTCCGTCCATCACGCATCACGTCCGCAATATTGACGTACGATTGGTTCATCATCCAAACATTCCACCTTCTCTTCTTCCAAATAATGATGTCATTTTAATGTACGTTTTTGGGTCTTGTCTCCATGCATCAGCGACCGAAGAATTCGAGATTATCCTCCCAAGTGGTATCGGAATCGTACAAGTTCGTGCGCTGTTCATAAATCCAAACTCCAAGCGCCAGCCCGCGGAAACAGGTCATTTCAGAACAAACTCCTCAAGATCGACTCCCCCAAAAAGTTCAAAATCGAAATACCCGGATAATCCATCACTTATGCCGCTGCAAAACCGGTGTCATCCCAACGACCTTCAAGGCCTCAAGTCATGCAGATGACCCGCCGGATGGATCCCCACCTCCCGAAGCGCTGGCTCCACTGTCGGGCGCGTTGTTGCTCGCACCCGCATCGCTCGGCCCCCCGGCCTCAGCACCAGAGAAGGCGCCAGCGACGGTCGCGTAGCCTAGTGTGCTGTCGAAATTGTAGTAGGAGCCAGCGTGCTCGCCGGAGAGGCGGGACGGGTCGCCGCCGTCGCTGGCTGCGGATTTCTTTGCGAGTTCCTCATCCGACTTTTGGTGTCTCGGCTCGAACTTGAGCTCCTCCTTGTCCCAGTCCTTGAAGACGGGGTCGTCAAGTGTGAGCGCTCTCGATCGACCCTCCCAAGTCTGACGTTGCTTCTTGGCTTTGAATGGGTTTCGCATCGTAAGTTGTGGTGGATCAAATCTCGTTCGATTTGCGATCTCGGTGTAGATGGTTTCGCAGAGTGCTGACGGTGTGTTGTCTCGTCGCTGTGATGAAGGCACTTTCTTCCGCCTTTTCAAAGATTCGTGAGAGAAGGAGGAAAAGTAGGCAAAAGTGAAACGGCGACGTTGGATTAATATGTGCTAACCGCCAGCCTGAAGCATGAACAGCTGATATCAGCTAGCCGGGGGTGGCTGAGCAATTTTGACAGCGCCGTGCCGCAAACTTTCAGGGTCCAACATGAGAAGATATGCCCCAATAACGCCATGAGGGTCAGCAAATGGCGCCCGATTGATAGCTGAGCCCACACCCACGTGCGCTTCGCATTGCGAAAGGTCCAATCAAGCACCGGAACCCCGGACAGTTCGTGATCGGTGCCTAGAGAGAGACGATAAGCCCGCCGGGGTCTCACTGGTCACGCGTAGGGCTAACGAAGGGTATCCCTGCTTCAGCTAGGCGGAGCTTGGCATAGCCCGGCCACTTCGCGGGAGGCAGCCCGCAGCTATTAGGGAGGTTGGCAAGATGGTTTGATTGCGTCCATGCCGTTGGTGACTGGCTCGAGATTCGGCTTGATTGTTGGAAATAAGATGAATTTCGTTGAGCAGGCCAACCCCATTGTGGCACGACGCTCCTCACCATTCACGAGTCTAATGATCCTTCGCGATGCATCGGCGCTTCATGGTCTCGAATCAATGCTGAAGAGCATGTAATCGTGACGTTTTGTGATCATGATGAATCACTCTTGAGGAGAGTGATTGGATACTGTGCGAGTCATCAAGCCGGAGACCGACCCAAACTGGGACCAATGTCTGTTCACAACTCCGCTATCACAAAGTAAGCTTAAATGCGCTCCGACAACTTACCCAAGTGGAGGTCGCGAAGAGGCTTCGTTAGCGATGGGGTGTGGTCACAACTGAGATCCACGTTTATTGTAACTCAAGATCCGGGGCAATGATCGAGATGAAACATGGCACGGATATATGCAATACGGCACCAAATTTAGGCGCTCCTTAGACTCAACGGATGGGAGAGAGCCCAGAGGCGGTGACTAGCTACATACACAATGGCTTTCACATGATGATTTGTAGAGAACCGCGATGTTCCAAAAGCCTTGGTTTAATCTGCTAAAGGAATGTAGAAATTGGTCGCGTCTGCAGTTGACTCCGCGAAAATTCCTTCGCGGATTCTGACCCGAGCCGGTTTTCGCCAATGGGAATCATCGCCATTGGTCGAGAGAAAGAAATTTTATGCTCAAACCACCGCCATATCTACGCGGTGGAATATGTACGAAATCGCAATCGTCTGAAGGAACAGTTTTAGTCTGCGCGAAGGACCGCAACGGACCAAGCAGGCATGACGAAGCTGAAGTTGTCGCCGGAAGACTCGATGCGCGAGATAACCGGAGGGGCGATGGGGGATCCGGCATGGCTGTTGGCACTATCAGGGTCGTCATTGGCCAGGATCGACAGCGTCGCAATACCCTTTCCTGCAATCTTAATGTCCATTTGCTGCGGCTCAGCGGCGTAGTTGGCCAGCTTCACGATGTACGTCTCGCCGGCGCTAACAGCGCTCCAGAAGACCGGGTCAAATCCAGAGTCAGAAGTGATCTCGTGGGTCACGTCGCCGGCGTTGTGTGCAAAGAGTTGTTGGACCCAGTAGCTGGACGTGTAAACGATGGCGTCAGGTGCTTGTTTGAAAGGGATCAGGTTGGGCTGCACATGTTTCCAAAAGTCAGCTTCGGCTCGGCATTTTATCCTCAATTAAGGGAGAGCAAGAGCTTACCGCCCATTGTTGGTGGTTCACAAGACTGAGCAAAGGCGCAAAGGCTACACCACGAATGAGGTCGCTGTTGCGCTCCAGTCCAAGCATGAAGACGGCCTCGGACACCGACCCCCTCATGTCCGAATACTGCACGCTCCAGCGACCCATCTCTGCGATGATGTACTTGTTCCTGCGAGAAACATTGTCCCATTGGGCAAAGTTGACGATGTAGTTCTCAGGGATGTTGTACTCATGGTAGTCGATCCATGCGTCTTCGGGAAAAGGGTCAGGCAGGCAGTTGAAGCCGGTGGCAGACGCGATGAGCTGGAGGTCTGGATACTTGGGACGGATGGCATTGTAGAATGCGGCGAATCTCTCAGGATAGCTGCTACAGCCAAAGTCATCCTCGTTGCCAATTTCGACCCACTTGACGGGCCATGGCTGCTCGCGTCCGTTCTTGGCTCGGAGGGCTCCCGTAGGTGTCGAGGAATCGCCAAGGACGTACTTTTCAACATAAGTGGTTAGAGCAATTGGAACAACAGGCTTCATATTTTGTAGTACGTACTTCAAGCTCTTGGAGAACTTCATCAACGAAAGGTTTCAGAGCTTCACCAGTGATGTGGGTCCCGTCGAGGGAGTACCCAGAGTAGACGTCAAGGAATGGCTCAAGGCGCATGTCATCGCACCATTCAAAGTATTCATGAAGACCTGCGGTACATTAGCTATTTCTGAGTTCATTTTTGTGCGGCAGAAGCCATACATACCAAGGGCATCAGTGTTCGGGTATCCCCAGGCACCTGTGCTTTTTTTTTAGCTTGACATCCTGCTTGAAAGAGTTTCTGCTAATACCTTGGTGACCAGGACGCGAAGTTATGGCACCAATCGTCTCATTCCACTTCCAGCGGTTCTCGACATTCGGCCCTTCCCTGGTCCTAGTTAGATATCACAGGCTTCCCGCAAGGATACGGGGTGCGGGGCATACAGGTTATTGCCGCCAGGAAATCTAAGGAACGATCCACCAATGTTGTTCACCGCTTCGGCCAGTGATGGTTTGAGTCCGTTGTAGCTAGATTATCAACCTTAGCCGCAGTTCTGTTTGAGTACGAACAAGACATACCGATTGTGGAAGGTGGTAGGATAGAGCTGCGGAAGCGCAAACCAGAGCGAAGAGCCGGCGACAAGGCCCGCATCGAAGGTCATTCTGTACTCTATATCCGTCAACGACGAGAAGGTAGTCGGCTCACGTTGGTGAAATTCGGTGAACTTGTCGGTGGTGGAGTCGACGTAGAAAGTAACGTTCGCGAAGACCTCCTTGGTAGAAACACTCTGCAAGATCCAGTTCATCTGGCCTTGATAGTTGCCACGAATGAAGATGTTGTGCGAGTGAAGGCTGCCATCAACCGGAATGCCCCAGTAACCCTCATTGGCAAACCCAGCCTGACCCGTGGCGCCAGCTTCGACAGTGACTTTGAGTGTGTTGGGAAGAGCGTCAGAGAGGGGAACTGAAGAATCGAGTTCCAGTGTGGTTCCCGAGATTGCCGAATAAGCTGCTAATCCAGGATTGTCGCCTTGGAAGCCGTTATTGCGGATGAGCTGCCCATGAATACCGCCGTCGCCAGAGTAGTTGATGTCCTTGCAGGGCACGTCCATTAGTATTGCAATTTTCAAGTCGCATCAGCCAGCATAGTACACACCTCGAACATGATGCCCCACATAGTAGAAGAAGTCTCATTGCCACGAGTCTGTGATACCGTCAGACTGATGGCACCGCACTGGACTGCGAGCGAGGACATCAAAAGCCTCGCCAAGGCTCTCGAAGATGTGAACAGGACCATGATGTCGGCAAATAATCAGAAAATGACTTCTCGATCAAAATGAAATTCCCATTGATTGTTGAAGCTACAAAACATCTTCAGAATATTATAGGTATTTTATATATTTGAATCATAACCATCGCGGTGTAAGTCCAGAGCCAATGACCAACAAGCGTTTGTCGTTCAAACGGTCGCCGACGATATATCCCACCGGCCGTCTTTGAGAAACCGTTTATGAGGTGTGATTGACTCTAGTCGCATTTCTCGTCGTGGGACGGAGAATTTGGGGATTGGGCGGGTTGTCGCACGCTGTGCCACTCGGGTAACGCACCAATGGCGTGACACACCGAGGTCATTTCCGCGACGCCGATACTATCACCGAGATGTAATGCTCTGCGAGACTGGGCGTATCTGAGCGCGTTGCATTTGGCGATCGCAATAAAAATGATGAACTTGGGTCTTTCGGCACATTGACGTCGGTGTACATTGTTGGGAATAAAGAGCAAGAGTTCACTCGGCATTGTAGCTAAGGGGTGGCCCAAGGAGTATGTGGCTCGCAATGCACCGAGGGCCAAGACTTTCAGGACTTAGATGCTCAATCTCATAGTTCTCACGAGGCTACATTGTAACCGTTGTATGGCTCGGCAACCAAAACTCTACGACCACCAAAAAGACGATGGTCCATGGACACGCCCAGCCTTGTGATAAGATAGAACGAACATACGTACCTACGAAAACGCCTACGGTTCAAAGTGCCACTCATGCTATTCAGTCACCGCAATAAGGCATAAGGGACTGAAAAACCCATCACATTGAGTGATAAGCCTGAACTATGGTTCCATCGAAGCTTGGGGGTCACAAGACCGGTTTCTCGCTACAATCTTCTGTCCATTGGCTTGAGATCTCACCGCCTTCGGGCTCTATAGCAGGCGACTTACTTGGATATGGAAATCTCCTACTACTAATTCCTTGCATACTATATGTCTGTGCCGCCCAGCGATGGCTTGCCAAGGCCAAATCGTGACCGTTGTGCTTACACCCCGTCTGCTTTGGGACGGACTAAGCCCAAAAGGACCGTTCGTAACCCCACAAACATGTCGCGGACTGGATTTGGAGTGATTCAGCCTACGAACGGAATTGCGAGAGTTTCGCTTGTCTTCGCAGGTTTTTGAATGCATTCACTGTCAGCGTGTTCGGGCAAAGGGCTGTGCAGCGTTAAATGCGAGCCGCCGAATCGCTCGTGAGAACCATTAAAATGAGTAAAACAGTGATCTGGAATTTCGCGATCAATCCTGATTCTCTCGATTTACGACTCCTGGATAATCGTCATGACTTTGAGTATCCAATGGACACGATGGCTGATCCAGTTGGGACAGCCGCCGCAATGCCAAATCTGGGTCGAATCTGGTTGTATAAAAACTATCTGTTGAGCACAACGACTTGTAAGAAGATCTCTATCACCATCGCATGGCATCGCATCGCATCTTACACTCGACTTCGGATTCTACAACACTATCAACTACCTCAAACTCTGCCTACCGACTTCAGAAGCTTTCAACATGCGCTTGTCACTCTGGTCTGCTGCGATTTTCGCCGGCTCTTGTCTGGCACAAGGTGATCTCGCTGGGCTTCTCGCTTCGCAAGACGATCTCAGTACGTTGCTTGAGCTAGTCGGTCTTGTTGATGGCCTTGCAGAAACGCTCGCATCGGCCTCCAACATCACCATCATAGCCCCGACCAATTCCGCTTTTGCCAATGTGCCACGGGACATTCCAGAGGGCGAGGCTATTGAGCTTCGCAACGACACTATCGCTATTGCAGCCTTGCTTGCGAACCATGTTTTCAAAGGAGTTTACCCATCCAGCGTCATCACTGAAGTGCCCACCTTTGCTCAGACCCTGCTCAACGGTTCCTACATCACCGCTCGCCAGCCTTTCTCCAACTTCACTGGAGGCGCCTACAACGGACTCGTCAAGAACGGGAAGGACGTGTGCATCCTGTCTGGGGAGCAAACCATCTCCACGGTCACTCAAGCTGTGTGTAACATCTTCATTTACATCTACGCTATCAAAGATGCTAACGTAACGCGTAGGACATCAAACTTGGTGAAGGTATCACAATTCACAAGGTCGATACCGTGCTATCCTTTGGAGCCCCATTCCAGCTCTTCACGTTCCGAGCAGGCTACCGCGCCATGAATGCCGCTCTGGAGGCGGCTCACCTCAACTTTGCTTTTGGCGAGACTGGAGCCGACGTTCAAGGTCTCAACATTTCTGACTACACAATCTTCGTCCCAACTGATGAAGCTTTCAAGTTAATCGGCTCTGTACTTGAAACAGCGGATCTAGAGACACTTCAGCAAGTGCTTCAGTACCACATTATTCCTAACAACTAGCACCTCTATAAGGGCAAGTAAATTAACAACATAAATAACCTAACTAAGCAAAGTGAGGCTATCACTACTACTTAATTAATTAATTTGATATCCCTTAATTAAATTAAAATATTTAATATCTTATATTATTTATAGATTAATTAATAAGAGACTATAGATTAACCCCTACTCTAGTTTTCTAAGTATAATTAGTTACTAAAATATAATACTATTAATAACTTATTAATTACTATATATAATAATAAAGATATTTAAATAGCCTTTATAATACTAATTAATACCTAATTAATATAAAACTTTCTAAGGGAGTAGAAATTATTATAGTAGTTTAAATAATATAAATAACATTATAATTAGATATTATTTCTAAAAGTTATTTATTATTTTAGCTTATATATATTATTTATACTCTTTATTATCTTTTTTATCTTTAGAGTTAAGATATTAACTATTACTACTACCTCCTTATTAACTAGTAATATATATATATTATTAACTACTATATACCTATATATCTCTATATAAATTATAATTACTCTACTTATTATTATCCCTCTAAATCTTATAATTAATAACTTACTAACTATTATTATTAATAGTAAATAATATATACTTAAAATATAGCTCTTATATAAGAGAAAATAAGGTTAATTTAGTTAGATTTAAGATTATAGTAACTTTTTTATTAAGGTTATTTAGAGATATATAATAAAGTCCTATTAAAGTTATTAGTAATATAATATTAAAAGCTAGCTAAGAGTTTTTAGTACTACTATTATATCTACTTTATAAAAGTACTTACTATAGTATATTAACTTAAGCTTTTTCTCTATAGTAATTACACTCTAATAAAGCTAAAATATCTATATAATCTATAAGATCTCTCTCTAATTAGATAAAAACTCTAATAATACTCTAATATTATTATTAATAGCTATATTTATACTACTTTCCCTAAAGAAACTCTAATTTAGCTATATAAATATATTTAAAGCTAAAATAACTACTCTATATAATCTTTATATAGCTTTAATTATTTCTATTAACCTCCTATTTACTTACTTTAAAAACTTTTACTTCTAATAAATACTATAATACTATAGTATAGAGATTACTAATAAAATATTATAGAGTTATTTATCTATTTAGGACTATCTTAATAATATCTACTACTATAATAAAAAACTAATAATTAAAGAACTTTATATAATAAGGTTAAAAATATACCTATTATTTAATCTATAAATATCCCTAAATATTTATACTTTTATAGAGGTTATTAGTTACTTTATTAATACTAATAGTGCTTTATAATCCTATTTTCTAGCTTTCTATTAATATTATAGTAATTATAGTAATACTACCTTTATAGTAACCTTTATTAATATTATTAATTATTACTATATCTAAAACTAAATTAAAGTAACTATTTCTAATAACACTATAAATAATAATATCTACCTCTAAGCTTTCTATAGAGAACTAAACCTAAAAATAATAGAAATAGATATTTAAGCTTAATATATATAGTATTATAGCTATATTCTTAATTTCTTAGCCTAAGTATTCCTATTTAGTACTAATAAAGAGACTTTATATACTAAGTTATAGTTCTATAAGTTTAAGGGTTATAATAATAATTTAGAGCGTTAGTAGTAGCTTAAACTTATTAACTAGCTCTATAATATTATTAAATTTATCTAGTTATCCCTATAATACTATAAATAATACTAGAAAGCTATAGTAGAAGTTAATAGAGATTTTAACTTCTAGATCTTCTTAAAGTTATATTAAGAAACCCTCTTTATCCTAAATAATAATACTTACTAAAATAATATATATTTTATAATCTAGAAAGCTATAGAGAAAAAAACAGAGATTTAAGCCTTTATATTTTTAAATAATAATAATAATAACGCTAAGTAATATATCCTTAAAGAAGACTTTCTATTTTTAGAAAATTAGAAGGTTTTAAGTGAGATAAGTATAATTTTAAAGCTTTTTTACTAATAGATAAAGAAGTATAAAAGTTAAAGTATTAATAATAGTTATAATTAACTTTAGAAGGTTATAATAAGTATAAAATATCTTCTTTTATATTTTATTAATTAGAAGGACTACTATAACGCTATAATCTCTCTATTTATTAATAATAATACTAAGGATTAATTATAGTAGTTATAGAGATATTTAAGCTAAGGTTAATATAGCTAATTTTATATTTAAGCTCTTTTAATTTATATTTATAAAAACTAAATATTACTAGCTTTATAATTAGCTTTATAATTTAACTCCCTTAATAAGAAGTAGTAATCTTTCCTCTATATTAGTATTAAACTAATATAATAGAAGCTTTTTTTATATTATAATAAGATAGAAGAGTTACTACTATTTTCTATAGTATTAATCCTATATTTATTATTAAGTATTTTATATTTATAAGATATATAATATTATAAATATTAAGAGGGATAAGTTAATAAAGCTCTTAAAAGTCTTAGAAACTTCTTTAATAAGTAGTATTATTAATTTAAGCTAAAAATAATAGTATTAATACTAAATAAGTAGCTAGTAGTTATCCTTATTAATACTAAAGCTTAAAATAATAATAATAATTACTATTAGTAGTAAGTTAATAGCTAGTATTACTATATACTACTCTAAGTTAATAAGCTTAATCTCTACTTCTAGAGCCTCCTTAAAGCTATTAATAATCCCCTTAAGTAGTAGTTAGACTACTTAGAGATATACCTAATACTCTCTAAATTAGTAATTAATATCCTTACTATCTCTATAATATCTACTAACTATAAGAGGGCTTTTAGCTAACTTAAATTAACTCTTATATTATAGAGGCTCTTAATAAGACTTAATACTATAGAGAGTTTCTAGCTAATAAAGAACTAGCTAAAAAAGGGAGTTATACTACTTAGTAATAACTTTAAGCTATTAAGAATAATATAAATAGCTTTAAATAGGTATAATATAGTTTTATATAGTAATTAATTTATTTCGTTTATAAATTAGCTAAGTAATTAAAAACACTAAAAAAAAGAGCTAAGTTAATAAGTATAAGGGTTAAAATTGCTTTAATTGCCCTTATGGAGGCGCTGCTAACAACGTTATCTTTTTGCCGTCTCTTAGGAACGTGATAGTTCCGTCTCTTTAAGGAGCAAACCTCACTTTTACTGTGTTGCCAGACGGATCTGCCTAGGTAAACAACGCAAGAATCACGTTTCCTAACACTATTTTGTATAATGGCGTGGCTCATGTGATTGACAGGTTGGTTTACTCTAGTTACTAAAAGCTCTTCGCACTTTATGCTAACATTAGATCAGTATTCTGAGCCCAGGAAACTTTGATTGTGCATCTCTGCAGCTGTCTAAACAGGCTTCTGAGAGAGTCGCGTTCCCAAATGCCTCCTCAGTCTCGAGCCTGCCTTTCTCTAGTGTTTCTTTTGCGACGGACCTCATGGCTTACACAACGACTCCAATTTTGCTCCAGACTGTTGCTGCTGTCGCCACCCCTTCAGCTAATGCGACCGCTACGGCGAGCCAGCCTGTTCCGGTTGCAACTGGGGCTGCCAGCGGATTGATGCCTGGTGCAATTTTGGTCGTTTCTGTTGCTATGGGCCTTGATGCACTACTCAGCTAAACTTGAGAAGGCAATCGAGCGTCGTCATCAGTGCAGCAGAATGTGCGAGACAGTCGGTTGGAAATTGATGCATTGGAGATAGAGGTAATTAGAACGTTTTGTGGAATGACTGGTTGTTTGGCATGCGAAGGAGATCTTGATGCTGTTTTTACCTTGATTATCTGTTCTGGTTTTCACACCTTCATTATGACTATTTTCATTATCATCTCAATTAAGATCGTTTTCTTCGGGATTCCTTTCCCTAATAGAGTGCTATCGTGTCATAATGAGTCTTACACAACGGCGGTGGTGACATAGGCGGCAACGAGAAGCGACGACGATGGCAGAACCAATTTCGGCGGCAGAATGGACCACGACGATATAAGCAACGACAATAGCAGAAGCGACAGATAACTACTTTGTAGCTTACATACTCAAATCTCCGCTCAGATAGCAAGACTCGTCGGTAGAAGTGGTATGTGATTCGGTCTATAGTCTAAAATCTATGTGGTATCATCGAATGCGCGTGCTCCGTCAAACTCTATGTACAAGTGAAGTGCAGTTTGCCGTATTATGCTATTTGCCCTAGTAATCGGCGTCGATGTACTCGGCGCAGATGAGGTCGCCCTTGAGGTCCATCACATCGGCAATAGTCTTGTTAGGGATAATGCCACCCATCCAGAGAACGTGGTTGAGGGTGGTTTCGTTGCCCGGGTCACCATCGTAGTCGGTGTAGGCCTTGGACGGGTAGAGCCAGCGGTTCTGTGTCATGATGAACTCAGGAGGGATAATCTGGCCGCTCATGTCCGTCAGACGAGCAGTGAGGTTGGCCTCCTGCCACTTCTGCCAGAGGCGATCAAGGTTGGCGTGGTGCAAGAAGAAGACAGGGTCGCCAGGGCTGGCGTTTTGGTTCTCCATCTGAAAGAGCTAAAGTTAGTGACGTCGCTTTCATATGAAAGATTTGGAAAGAGACTTACGGTTCCGCCAGTAGCAAGGTGTCCACAGGAGTGAGGCGAGTCAACGTAGCAGAAGTTGGCCTCATTGTAGTTGTCCTTGGCGAAGCAGGTATCGACGTTGGTCTGGTTGGCGAACTCCCAGGCCGTCTGGTTCCATCTACGAGAAAGGCAGTACTCGTCGTAGTAGTCAACACCCCAGATCTGGTCCATGCGGAGAGTTGTGTTGGCAAAAGCACCATCGATGACGCAGTTGACGCCGTCAGTGGTTTTGACGCCGTTGGTACCGAAGCTGAACTCGTCGGATCCCCAAACAGAGGCATTCTCAATGGACCCGAGGACCTCAAGATCACGTTGCTCGTCCCAGTAGGGAAGAGCGCCCTTGTATCCACACTCGTTCTGGAGAAGAATCTCTTGCAGGCGAAGGAAAAGGCGGTGCCAGGGAAGGAAAGCACTGCGCATGTTAGTTGCATACTAATTGGACGTTGAATTGTGTGCCACATACCCGACTCCGTGGATGAAGTTCGATTGCTCGACGTGGCAAGACTGCAGCTCGTCCCATCGAGAGATAGCACCAGTGATACCGCTCTTGGCGGGGGACTCCATCAAGCACTTGACGGCCTGAAGGTAGTCGGACTTCTCATCATTGGTGAGAACGTGCCTATTGAGTGTCATGGTCAGCCCTACTAACAATACAACGCTGGTATAGGTGGGTCTTATGTCACTCACCATGCCTTTCTCTGGTTAAGCGAAGTGCACGTAGAGTTAGAGTAGGTGCCGTTGCGAGCGAACGGTGATGCGCTAGCGAGCCCAAGGGCTGAAACGAAGCCGAAAAGAGTGGACGACCTCATGTTGATCAACGAAGGACGTGCAGATCTCAAACAGATCTGCAGAAGAGTTCGGACGACAAGTGAAGAGGGAACGACCCGATGGACTGGTTGACGTTCCAGCAATTGCAATAGCGCGGCCCTACCAGGCTCACTTATACTACGACATCAACTCCGCCAAGACTCCAGGATTTCTTTTTCGTGGTCCAGATTCGGAGATCAATACAAAAACTGCCATGCCCCGAAACCCACTGACTACGCAAAGAATTGCGATGGACCTACGATAGGGAGCCGCGCAGCCCGCATGTTGCGCGGGACCTGTGGGAGTGCTCCATCGCGGAATATGGCGATGCTCGAGATAAAGATTGACCCATGCGCCGATTCGTCTCAAGTTGCCCATTTTATGCGCGTTAGCCAGGGATCGGCAAGTTAAATTCCTTTCCGTGTTCGTCCCAAGAAATTCGCAGGGCTTGAATAAGCATGGAAGGTGACCGAAACCGAGTAGTAGTGGGGTTCAGATGGACCTCAGCCATCATTGAGCAAGGAAGAGAGTTCTTGGCTCGACCTCCTGCCACATCTCCCACATACCGGTCCTCTGGGTCATGTCCGAGAGGGACTACCTTGGACCTGCATTTGAGCCACGTTTGTTGGCGTTTACTGATCGAATGGAGAATAAAACCGGAAAAGCCGGTCGGACAAAATTTGATGGCTTCGGCTCCCACATCGCTTCTGCTTTATTACGGGGCCAGCTTCTAGACCTGTGACATCTTGATCTGGGTGGCTCCGATGGAGACTCTTCTTGGTTCCGCATGTGGCGTTGGTGACGACGACAGCGAGTTCGCCTCGGTTGTTCAAGAATACGACTGGAAGCACAAATGCATTGCCGGGCATTTCATCTTGTAGCTCATTTTTGAAGAGCTTTCTTATCTGTCGAACTCCCTCTGACAGGGACCTTGCACCGCAGCCTAACCGCCCACACGAGCGTTAGCGACCAGTCCGCACGAGTCAGAGTAATTTCCAGTCAACTGTAACACGTCTGATACTCGACGTTACCGGGTTTCAGCTAGACACTTCGCCAAGTTAGCCTCCCTAGTAACATGTATTGTAAAGATAACAACTAAAAATGTAAAGATAACCCAGAAATGAAATGTGTGCGTTTTTGCGAGGCTATTTCAAAACCTGTCACCCCTGCAGGCGTGACAAGTCATCGATGTCCGCAAAAGAAACAACTGTGGATATCTCAGGGGATCGCTCAGCATTATGTAACAAAAGAATGGGGAGTAATCTTCAATTCTATTCCCATCTTGGCGGAATCCCCCTCGCCTACTTGACCCAGATGTTGACATCCAGGCACGTTTTCTCGGCGACAACCCGGAGTGGGGCTGCCGGCTCGGAGGAAAACCGCGATATCGGAGCCGATGGTTTACGAATCAGGGTACGTGTCGCTAAGAGGCAGTGCCAACCGAATCAAGCTCAACCGTACTCTAGGTTTCCCGTTGCCAGTGGTTCTCTGCGACCTTGAGAAATGAGGCCAAATGCAGGCAGCATATCTGTTGATACCTTGAAGTTTATTAGAGCTTTCTCTTTCTAGAAGACCGAAACACTGGATAACAAGACCAGAGTGGTTCCAGGAAAGGAGACTTTACTGTAACCTAGCAGTGATGTTCACAAGCGCCTTGCACTTTAGTTGGTGAAGTTGATGCAGTTCTGTGTTTAAAGTTGCGAAATAACTTCCAGAGACAGAGCGTCACAGATAAGAGCCTGTATGCTCAATGTTCTTGTAAGACTGAGTGCTATCATTTTTCTGAGGCTATTTATGAGCGAATATCGAACGGTGCAAAGGAATCTTTTGAAATAGAGATAGGACTCGCTCTGCGTCGGGGAAGGCCCGGATAAGTGATTACTGTCATTAGCTGTGTTCTTGGGCGAAAAGCCGGCCATGCTCCGTGGTGCGGTTCATTGGTTGATATTCTCAGCTGTCTGATCAAAGATGGCAGATCCCAACGTAGGGCGCGAAACAGCGCTCCCTATAAAGCAATTAAACTTGCCAAGTTTAATTAATTAATTAATTAATTTTGAAGCTATCGCTAGTTAATTAAGTTAATTATAACCCTTAAACTTAATTAATTACCTTAACTCTTTTAATAAAGATTATAATATAGATTAAATAAATATTCTACTACTAAATATCCTTACTCTTCTTTATTTACTTTCTATTATGTTTTTACTTCTAATAAACCCCCCCCTTAATAAAGTATAAATTACTTCTTTTTACTTACTTAGCTTTTCTTTTTTTCTTCTCTAATATAATAATTAATATAATTATTCTAGTAAATATTAGTAATATTCTCTAAGTTTTATAGGAGTAATAGCTAAATCTCTTAGAGAAGTTAAAAGCTAGCTTTTAAGATCTTCTAGAGATTTATATTAAAATTATTATTTTACTACTATTATCCTCTATCTCTATTATCTATTAGTATCTTTTAAATATAAAGGTATTATTAAGTCTACTTTCTCTTCTTTTTTACTTACTTTATATTAGATATCTATTATACTAGTAATCTTCTATTTAACTTCTACTTTTCTTCTAAATACTTTTAGTTAACTTTTAAAGTATAGATTTATTATATTATAGTTTAAGTAAAGCTAAAACTACTTCTTATTTAATTACTTTTTATTTAAAAACCTCTTTAGAATTATAATAAATAATAAAGTATATATATAAGAGTTAGATCTTTAGAGAAAAAGTATAAAAGAGAGAATAAACTAGATAAGAAGTTATAAATAGTATTTTATTCTCTATTAGCTAGATAGCTAATTAGAAGTAAGTTACTAAGTTTATTATTACTATAATCTTAAAAATAAGTATATTATTCTTAATATTAAAGCTATTTTATTTACTTCTAAGTATCTTAAGAAGAACTATCTTAGAGAAATATAAATAGGATCTATTAGTTTAGAAGGTTTTAAATAACTTAAAGATATTCTATATAAGAGATATTACTTTAACTTTATTAGTTTAATAAAAAGCTATATAAAAAGTATTTAAAAAGCTATTATATACTTAATTATAAATACTAATTTTCTTTTTATTATTTATAAGAACCTTACTTTTTAGTATATAATCTCTAAGGTTAGTATTAAGTTATAAATATTACTATAGTTTAGTATTTTAATAGTTACTGCTTTTAAAGGTATATAGAAGTAATAAAAAGTAGTTATTTAGTAAGAACTTCTATATACTAATTTTAAGATATATTTAGGTTTTAATCTATAGACTTCTCTAAGTTATTAAGCTATTATAGGTATTATTATATACTTTATTATTAAGGGAAAAAGCTTTTAAGTATATCTTATTACTATAAAGAAGTAAATTAGTATTTATAATAGTATTAACTTTATAAACACTCTTAAGGAGATTATTAGAGACTAAAGTATTATAAAGTAAATAAAGATTTTAATTTCTAATAATATAAGCTTAAATAATATTTATATAGTAAGTTTAATTTTTTAATTTAACCTCTCTATTAAAAAGAAGTAAGATATCTAAGCTAAAAGGATTTATTACTTTAAGTATATTTTTAACTTTATATTAAAGGTTTTCTTATTTAGTAAGAACTTTAAAAACTTTAAAAGATAGTTAGATATATATATTCTTTTATAGTAAGATAAAACTAACTTTAAGTATTAGTATAAAACTAGCTTTATTAGTAAGCTTTATAATATTATAAGGTTTATTAAAGTTTTACTATAATATATATAGAGGTTTAAGATTCTATTTTATAAGATATTAGAAGCTTTTAATTAGTCTAATAGCTTTTTTCTCTCTTAGTAAATATCTAAAGAACTTAAATTAATTTAAAATAATATTATGAAGTAGAACTTTATATACTTTATAATTAAGTATATTATTTAGTTTAAGGATAAAATAGAGGGTTTTTATTCTTCTTAGAGTACTAAAGATCTTATACTAATTTAAGATATCTTAATTTCTAATAACTAGTTATAGTTAATAAAAATTATAACGATTTTAAAGTTTATTTAGAAGATAATATTTTAAATATAAAGTTTTAGAGAAAATAGCTTTTATAGTAAACTTTAAGAAGTAATTATTATAATAGAGTATCTTTTAAGTTACTTTAAAGAGTAGAAGACCTTCTATAATAATATTAGTAGTAAAGATATTTAAGATCTTAAATTAGATAAGTTTTAAGCTTTCTTATAAGAAGTATTTTAGAGATCTATTTACTTAGTAAACTAATAAGTTTTATTATATACTTAAGTATTATAAATATCTTAGAGATAGTTTAATAAGAGCTTTTTACTTATTTATACTTATTAAGAGTATATTAATAGTATTTTAAACTTAGAAGAAATAAATAGTAGTAGCTAGTAGTACTTAAGGATTTTAATTAATAATAGATAGAAGAAGCTAGATAAGTATTATACTTTAATAGAGGAGTTACTTCTATATACTACTATATTACTCTTCTACTTTAGTTTTAACTTAAAGTATTTAGAAAAAAACTAATAATCTCCTTATTAATAAGAATAAATATTTAGTACTAAGCTAACTCTAAAGAGGTATTTTAACTAATAATATCCTCTTAAAAAAGGGGAAGATATAAAGAATATAAATTATTACTTAGAATCTATTAATTTAGATAATTTTAAGTAATAAGTTTAAACTAAAGTTATAATACTTAAAGAAAAAGAGGATAATAAGGAAATAGATAAATTAGAGAAGTATTTTATCTTTATAAAGTAAACTAACTATAATTTTATTAATTAGTAATTTATTTATAAAAAGGAATATCTTTAGCTAAATAAACTAATATTAGGGATCTTAGTAATACTTTTATAATTATCTAACTATAAGAGGGTATTTAATACTATATCTCTTACTTAAACTTTATAGAAGCTAGTAATAAAGGTAGAAACGTTAGAAATACTTTAATATATAAAGTAATAATATAAAAAGGGTGTAATTTTACTATTAGGGGGTTCTAAATAGCTTTACTTAG